TCCTATATAGGTAACTGGGATACACAGAACACATGTCATTAATTTTCCTTTGAAGTCATTAGAAACTTTATTGCTAACAAAGTCACTTACTTCCCCATGGTGGCTGGATTGCCTCCCCTGTTCTGATTTGTTGCTCTTCTTTAGAGGAGTTGACATGAGAACATCTCTGCTGGCACTGGACTTTCTGTCAAAGTGACCTTAGACAACACGCCTTCATAATCTTTGTCTTTTACTTGCTTGGATCATTAGGTGAGTGGTTCTTGCTGGTCACAGAACTCGTGAAAAACTGAAATCGGAGGTGCCTTAAAATTACTTGATAGAAATCGTAACAATTAGTCTGAAAGATGGCATTGAAGTTATTGCAACAATTAAATTGCAAAGTATAATTTTATTTTAAGTGTGTTAGGAATTCACTGTTTTATTTGTTTGCGTGATTGGTCTCAGAATGGAGAGCTCTGAGCTTCCAATATTTTATAGCAAGATTTTTTTTGAACCAATTTTTAAGGGTTGTGTGGTGGCAGTGGTTCAACACCAAACTGATAAGTAAAGGTAGTGTTCAGCTCTTGAGTTTGGCCACATCGTGTCTATGAATGTAAGTTGTAAATGTGAGAGATGCTAAATGTGATATTTGAAGCAGGAAATCAAGAAACATACTGCCAAATTCTGATGTGGCCTTCCCCCGTTTCCCTTCTACAGTCCTATAATTCAATTTAGCTTTCATTGAATGAATTTAGTTTTATAGAATGAATGATTTTCTGAAATTAAAATATAGTTACACAATTTTTCTTTTTCCCTTTTGCTGTGAGTTATAGAAATATGAAGTAGGAACTCAGCTGGCTGGCACTGACAAGCCTGATCCATTAGAGTCAGGGGCTCTAGTGGAGGTTGAAGCCAAAAGGCTTTTGATGATATTGCCTTTTGAATGTATGAGCTGTTTCCTGCAGTGAATTTCTTATGTGCTATTGTAACATTTCCATTTGGTTCTTTTCCCAGGAACTTCTAATGGTGTGATTGATCATTTATTGGGCACAACTCCCCCTACACATTTGGAGTATTTGGATAACATGCCCCAGCTATGTGTGAAAACAGTCACACAGTCAAAACCTGTTTCCCACAACCAGGTCTTTGTTCCTTTCTCCAAAGTAAACTTAGAGGTCTGCTCTCCTGCAATTATCTTCATTGGCAGGCATTTGGTCAGTGTTAAGTGTCCAGGCAAAATGTTTGAGACATTCTCAGACACCCAAGAACATAGAATTGCAACATGTTTGTTGATTCACAACCTTTAGATAGATTGGGAACAAGTGTGCCCTGGGCTGACCCTGCCTGCAGGCAGGAAAGTGCTGCCCCAAGCTAACCTTGAACTAACAAATTCTTAACTCCTTTTACTTTCACCTTGGTGTGTTAATCAGCTTATTATCTAACCACACTTAGGAATGCAGTATTACACATGGATTCCCTGTTTTCCCTTCTTAGGTTTCCCTAATTGATTTAAGGACTCTCTTCCTCTCATTTGACCCCGTTTCCTTTAAGAGTTCACTGAGGCTTTTATAAGTCATCCCCTCCTTGAGTCACAAAGACAGCCTGAAAATCACTGCCTGGTGTAAACTCTTATCTGCTTTATGACCCTGAAAAGAATTCAATCTTTGTGACTTTGCCACCAGAGAATTGCTGATTGGATGTGTATAAAAACCAGAAACTTCAGAGACTCGTGGTAGAACTAAGGTAGAACAAAGAGAGAAATGTACAGAGTCAGGCAAGAGAGGGGATAAGAATGAGAGCTGAAAAGCAGCCTAGATTTGGAATTAGTACTTAGAACAATAAAGTGAATGGACTGAAAAAGCAGAGTGTGCATAAATTCATTTGATATCATTTAGATTAGATTTCTAGCTGGTTGTTGATTCTCCTTCAGACCCTTGGAGAGGGTTATTCAGGGATGGACCCCAATAGCCTTTGCTACCAATTCTACCCCTCAACTTTTCTCATGTAATCCACCTTCTTTGCTCTCTCTCAAATTCCTGGCCACTTTGTTTTTAGTTGTTGTTACACATATTTGGAATACATTTAAATAATTATAATGTATATAGCATAGCATTAAACATTTAACGTAAAGAAATAAATTAGTCATCTTGAAATACTTCCACAGGGAGGTCAAAAATTAAAAGAATTTAAATATGGTATCTGCACAGAGTGTGTAACACATGCCCAGAATGACAGTGATGAAGAGAGTCATGGGAAGAGGTGAGGGATGGAAAAAGAAGGGTAATGGATTTGTTAACAGATGACTGTGTGATCAGAGTCAGCAGGAAGTTGTGATGCTTGCAACAATGAAAAAAAGATCCTTGATGAATAATTGAATATTGCTCTTGAAACATTTGCATGCCTGTTTTTTCTTTTATATTGAAGGGAGTGCTATAAGCAAGTATAAGATCCTTAGAGGAGACAAAAGATATATTAGCTGGTAGACTGGGCTATTAACTTATCCAACCAGCTCCCAGAATTATTCCAGGGTTGTATAGAGAATGCCTCAGAGTAGCAGGACCTCAGGAAAAACTTCTTGTGAATCAGGAGGCTAAACTTTTTCTATCTGAGGGTTAAATAAGGAAACATGTAACATTTTCTGATGACAACTTTCTTTTTTATTTCATCTTAAAAAATTCTGTCTCTGAAAATCTGTTTCCCATAGTTACATTCCACATTGTTAAATTCTTTATACATTCTCTACACAGCCACATACCTCTTTTGCACAGTTGCATCTCTTTTCTATACAGCTTTGTCTTCCTTGTCATTACACAGTTACAAGTCTCCACATAGCCACAGCTATACATCTCATTTACATAGCTCTTTCACCATACAGCACTTTACACAGTTCCTTCATACTCCATTACATAACTCTTTACACAACTCATTCACACAGTTCCTCTACATAGCAGCAGCTCCTTCACACAGCTCTCTCTCTCCTTCATCTCTCTCTCTCTCTCTCTCTCTCTCTCTCTCTCTCTCTCTCTCTCTCACACACACACACACACACACACACACATACACACACACACTTCTACATCATTCACTCACTCTCTCACATTCTTCTCACACTGCTTCTTTTATCTCTCACACTTCTTCATCTCTCACACTTTTCTCTCTTCCCTGAAGTTCAGCTATATCCCTCACTCCACACACACATACAAAGAACTGGGACTAGAGAGAACTGGAACCAAAGATTTAGAACTACAGAATTGGAACTAAAGAATTAGAGCTAGAAAATTAGAGATGATTAGAATGAGAGAATTAGAGCTGAAGAAGCAAAAAGGAGAATGACCTTCAGATCGTGTGTGAATTATTGTAGATAAGAAATCTATTCCACTCTTGAGAAGTCTTCTCTGAGTAACCTTGGGTAGCAGTTCCGGGAGCCGGACTCCTAGGCTACTAAACATGACTTCTCAAAGACTTGTTTATTGTTTCTGAAAATCATATGATAATAACTTTTATCTCATGTAAATATTTGCCTTTGTTTTATTTTTTAAGTCATATACTCAGTATACATATGGAGACTTGTCTCCAACTCATAATCTTCTTGCCTTAGACTCACAAGTAAGAGTCAATGCACATGACATCATGTGCAGCTGTCTCTTATGGTTTTACAGAAATTAGAAAAGAAAATTATCAAGATCTTAGCACTGTATCTTTAATCAGCCCCTGACTCACACTGACTTTGATTGCTATTACTGGCTCTGCTTCTGCAGGACTGGAAATTGAGTCATCAGCAAGGAGGCTTTTAACATAAGAGAACTAAATCTGCTTACTCTGAAAACAAGGTGTATCTCACTGCACAAAGACACCAAGCTGTGTGCCCTTGCAGTATGCATGTATGCATGCATGTATGTGTGTGGGTATGTATGCTTGTGTGCATCCTTATATTTATGTATTCGTATGTATCTGAGGATGTTATAAAAGTTGAAAAGGAACTATGAAAGAGGAAAAAGGTTTTAAGAAAGTGAAGGGGAGAAAAAGACATTATGGGATTCTATATAGCATTAGAGTAGGAAGAAAACCAGTGAGGGGGAGAATGATGGAAGTGAGAGGCAGGAGTATGGCAGAGAACGGCTGGGGAGATCAATAAAACAAATTCTGCAGGAAACCACCACGGTGAAATCCATCGCTTGTAAACTACTCAAAAAAGACATTATATTCATGGGTCAAGGCTGCATGCCTCATGAAATTGTCAAAAACAAACAAACAAATAAACAAAAATAAATGAGTTTAGAAGGCAGCTTCTTAGTTGGCTGTTATATTAATGGTCCTTAATAAAGGAAAATTCTTCTGGTATATATAATCTTACAAGTTTCACAAAGTAGTACAATATAAATCTTGAATATATGTATACATATATATATATATATATAATGAATACTTGCATACTTTCCAAATTCTTGAGTGTGTTTAATGATAGATGAAGGCAAATAGCATAACTGCAAGCTTTCTAAGAGCAGAAATCAAGGGAAGGACTGCGTGGAGGCAGTTGGTTTTGGAAAACAGGAAGAAAGCATTGGGAAAAGTGAGACAGGAAAAGAAAAATATAAGGTTCAGATAGCATTAAACAGGTTATAGTTTATCAATTGGCCCCTATCCACTACTGTCTGAACTCCACAAAGGTGTTAACAACAAATTTTCTAATAACACTAGAACACCAAAGCAGGTGTTCTTGTTACATAATCAAGCACTATAACAGAAAGTCTGAGTCTGAGTTAAACCAAGGAGAGGATATAGAGTTGTGGGATTAGGGCAGAAGCTTCAACAGACATTATTGTTAGCTTCTAAACCTAGTGCTTTGAGATGAAAGCACACATGGTAGTATGTATAGTCAGCTGGAGAAAAAAATACAAGCTTAGTAGAGTGGGAAACAGGGTGCAACAACTGTCTAGTGCATCTGATAGTTACTAATTAGAAATAACATTTTTTTCAGAGTCTCCAGTGCAGAATTCTGTGCTTTCACCAGCTCACATCAAATGGAGAATCCAAACAATGTGACTGAATTTATTCTTCTGAGCATTACAAGGATTCCAGAGTTGAGGACAATATTCTCTGCTTTGTTTCTTATCATGTACTTGGCCACACTGCTGGGAAACCTATTGATTGTGATAACTATAACTGTGAGTCCGAATCTGAGGTCCCCCATGTACTTTTTTCTCATTTCCTTGTCTCTTTTGGATGTCATCTACTCTTCAGTCACTGCTCCCAAGTTGGTTGTAGACTCTCTGTCTGAGAACACTACCATCTCCCTAGAAGGCTGCATGACCCAGCTCTTTGCTGAGCACTTCTTTGGTGGTGTGGAGATCATCCTTCTCATGGTGATGGCCTATGACCGCTATGTGGCCATCTGTAAACCTCTGCACTACATGACCATCGTTAGTCCTCGAGTGTGCTGCCTGATGGTGGGAGGGGCCTGGGTGGGAGGATTTGCACATGCAACCATTCAACTTCTCTTCATGTATCAAATACCTTTCTGCGGCCCCAATGTCATTGATCATGTGATCTGTGACTTGTTTCCACTGTTGCAACTGGCCTGCATGGACACACAGATCCTGGGTCTCTTAGTCATTCTCAACAGTGGGGTGATGTGTGTGACCATTTTCCTTGTTCTCTTCTCTTCCTATGTGGTCATCCTGTGCTCCCTGAAGTCTTGCAGTTCTGAAGGAAGGCGCAAAGCCCTCTCCACATGTAGTTCTCACTTCACAGTGGTTGTGCTGTTCTTTGTACCTTGCATCTTCTTGTACATGAGGCCTGTAGTCACTTACCCCATAGACAATGCCATGGCTGTGTCCTCAACCATTGTTGAACCAATGTTAAATCCTTTGATCTACACCTTGAGAAACTCAGAGGTGAAAAACGTTTTGAGAAAAATGTGGACGAAAAGCAGACCTTGAGTGTCATTGATATGCCAAGGAGCAAACGTTTCTTACAAATCCCTTGGAGATAAACCTTCTTCATTAATTCCAGACCACTAGATACACAGCAGAAGAGGTGGCTTCTGGCTTTAAAAAGCAGGTTTGAGGTATCTCAGTGCTTAATCTGTCTCTACCCGTGTCTCCAGCTCACCACACCAGGATATTTTGTGGTACATTTTCTCCCACTCATGGCTTTGTGAACACCTGTAAAAACCAAAACCAAAACCAAAACACCAACCCATAGTGTGAACCTTTCACAGTCTAGGGAGTTTTCTTTGTTATGCCTACTCTTGACTGAAATAATTTTTCAAAGGATTTGCTTTACTGGCTTTCTAGTTATTAATTATAGTTTTCCATTTCCATATAAACTCCCACTTTAAAAAAGAGGCAAGTATTTCCTGATTTCCTCTGGTCATTTACTTCATTTATTCTCTAACTCTATATTCAGGTTGTATTTTTAAGATTCATGATCAGTATTTACTTTAGAAATACTACTTAGGTTTCATGTTCTATTTCCCTGCCCACTTCTTTTTTTTTTATTTAGATTTTTTTAATTCATTTTACGTACCAATCACAGATCCCCTTCTTTCCTCCTCCTGCCCCTCCAGGCTCCTCCTGCAACCCACTCTCCACTCTCTCCTCCAAGAAGGGAGAGCCTCCCATGGGGAGTCAGCTGAGCCTGGTACATTCAAGTAGAGGCAGGTCCAAGGCCCTCCCCCTGCCTCAAGGCTGTGTGTCCCACCACAGGTAGTGGGCCTGCCCCCTTCTTAATCTCTTTATCAGCAGGGATTCTGTTTCTCCTTTTACACTGTCACCCTAGTTAATTGGCCATTCCTGGCCACTCAATATATGCTTAATAAATACTGCTGGGTGAGAATAAGTCTCAAAGAAATTTAAGGTATTAATTGTTTGCAAATAAAGGTGAAGAAATAAGGAAACAGGATGAACATATATAAGCATTTTAGGACATAGAATTACCTCAGATTGCAAGTTTCCGCATGTCCCGTTTTGAGCCAGTTTCTGTTTATTAGAGTGCTATTTTAATACAGTGGCCACCATTCACTGAACTTCTGTAATTCTTTTTTGTTTTTGTTTTTTGTGCACACACACGCGCATGTTTGTATGGGTGTATATTGTGTGCAAACGTGCATGTATTTTTGCATTTTCACGTGTGTGAATGTATGTCTATGTGCAGGTGAATATGAACATGAATATGTGTGCATCCATGTTGAGGCATGAGGTGCCTTCCCATATGGATCTCCACCTTCCTTGAGGAAGAGTCTTTCACTGAATCCAAAAGTCATGGTTTTGGAGACTATGACCAGTTTTCTCTTGGGATTCCACATTGCTGCCAAGCCTACCCTGTTTTTATGTAGATTCTGGGACCTGAACTGTGGTCCTTCTCCTTATTTATCAAGCACTTTACCCTTTGGGGGCACTTCCCCAGATTCTCTTGTCATTCTTTAGTGAAATAAACTCAGGGTCACTTCTGGTTGATGGCAGATGTTTTAAAATTATATTCCTTTGTCTTGAAATCTTGTGTTTCCCACAAGACTAGAACAACTCTATAGATCTGTGCAGTTTATTTGAATGACTACAGGGATGTGATTTTGCTATTACATTCATAATTTTGGTTTCCAAAACCAATGATATTTATTTTCTTAAGTATTTTCACTATGAAAATTCCAGAAATATACTATGGTATTTTAAACTGGTTCCCTTAATTAGGTATTTGGGAAGCCTAAGGTTTTGATATGAGCTAATACTCTGTTGCCATAAAACAAATATGCTGAGGAGCCCCCATGGTACTAGACTAGACCCTCTGGATAAGCAAGACAGTTGTTCTGCTTGAATGGTTTAGGGGGCTCCCAGGCAGTGGGATCTGGACCTGTCCCTAGTGCATAAGCTAGCTTTTTGGAACCTAGTGCCTATGGTGAGACACTTTGCCCAGCCTTGGTACAAGAAGGAGGTGCTTAGACCTGCCTCAACTGAATGTACCAGGCTCTCCTGACTCCTCATGGGAGACCTTGCCTTGGAGGAGGTGGGAATGGGGGGGGGGTTGGGAGGAAAAGCTGGGGGGCGGGAGGAGGGAGGACAGGGGAATCTATGGTTGGTATGTAAAATGAATAGAAAATCTCTTAATAAAAAATATGCAATAACATTAAGTATAGGATCAAGTACAGTATTCAAATAAACCATTTAAATAATGATTTTCATTTTAAATAACTGTGTGTGTGTGTGTGTGTGTGTGTATGTTTAGCCAGTATATAGGTATAAAAATCATCAGCTCTAATCAACAACTACAACTTTTCTTCTTTCATTTTATAAGGATGTGTTGAGTTAGAAATTCTGGAAAATCTTTTGAAAATAGTAGATAAGATATGTTTTCCTTACATTTGGGACCTTATATTTTAGTAAATAAACCAAATAATTTATATAAAAATGAAAACAAAGATGTCTTAGAGAAATAAACGTTTTTTGGGTAATTTCATTAAAGCAGTGTGTAATTGATTACTTCTAGGAATCAGCTGGTCTTTCCATAGGAACTTTTAAACTGAGATCCAAATGACCAGACCACCCACAAGCAACCCAGTGGAAAGAGCACTCTGAACAAAACAGAAAACGTTGTTTATAAACAAGTGAGGATGGGATCAGCGCTGAACACTAAGAAGAGCCAGCATGGGAAGCGGCGAGGCCCTGAACAGAGATTTTTTTTTTTTAAAAAACCTTAAGTTCAGCAATAGCAGAATTGTCAAAGATACTTTTTTAGTACACAGCTAAAACCCAAATCCAACATGAATCTGATGGTTTTAAAAGCTGAGGATCAAAAATCGCCCTTTATGTATTAACAATGGAGAATGATATTTTATGTCTTATACCAATTATTTAGCAGAAAATACTCAGATTTAAAATTTATAATCCTGTCTTATCTCAAAGAAGAATGTGAGCTTAATAATATGAAAACTTTTGTCTGTGTAAGAACTTTATGTAGAACATTTTGCCTGGTTCAATTATGAAATTAAAAAAATAGTTGAACAAAATCGATCCCTAATCTAACATATTTGTAATCTTCATCTTTTTAATTTTTTCCCTTTTTTATTAAGAGATTTTCTATTCATTTTACATACCAACCATAGATTTCCCTGTCCTCCCTCCTCCAGCCCCCCCCCCCGCCCCCGCAATCCACCCCTGATTCCCATCTCCTCCTAGGCAAGGTCTCCCATGGGGAGTCAGCAGAGCCTGGTACATTCAGTTGAGGCAGGTCGAAGGCCCTCCTCCCTGCACCAAGGCTGGGCAAAGTGTCTCATCATAGGCACTGGGCCCCAAAAAGCTGGCTCATGCCCTAGGGACAAGTCCCAGTCCCACTGCCTGGGGCCCCCTTAAACAGTTCAAGCTAAACAACTGTCTTGTTTATCCAGAGGGTCTAGTCTGGATGGGGGCTCCTCAGCTATTTGTCCACACTTCATGTGTTTCTACTAGTTTGGCTAGTTGTCTCTGTACTTTTTCCAATCATGGTCTCGATATCTCTTGCTCATAGAATCCCTCCTCTGTCTCGTGGATTGGAGTCCTTGAGCTCCGCCTGGGGCTTGGCGGTGGATCTCTGCATCTGCTTTCATCAGTCACTGATGAGGGTTATATGATGACAGTTAAGGTGTTTAGCCCTCAGATCACCAGAGTAGGTCAGCTCAGGTACCCTCTCAACCATTGCCAGTAGTCTATGGTGGAGTCATACCCATCTGCCTGTGACCCCATTAACTTCCTGAGACACGGAAACCAAACTGCCAGCTCTCATTGTAATCTTCTTGATATATATATATATATATATATATATATATATATATATATATATATATATATAATATAAACTGTAAAGAGGTAGGCCTAGACTCTTTCAGTTATACAATTCAGAACTTCTCTGGACATTCATATGGGCCATATAACCTTTTAAATTCCAAAAATGTCTTCTCATCAATGTTTTATAACTTTGCCTAACTTTACTTTTTTTTAACAATGTTGATCTCTGAAGTAAATATTATTTTGCTTGTAAACTATATTACCTATTAGAACAAGAAAAATTCAGTAGTATTCATGACATGAAGTTGAAGTTAAAGTAAACTAAGAATATATATCCACTTTAAGTGGAAGTAGAATATCTACCTAACAATGTCCTGCAAAGATCAAACTTAGTAGTACCCACTGTGTATACTTGGTTCCCCTTTCACTGAGATCTCAGCTTTAACAGTTGAACCTCAGTGGGTGACTCAGATATTTCTTTTAATCTCATAAATCAGATCTCAACACATATCATTGACATGCAGTGTCAAAAGCTAAAATCTTAGCATTTAGTCAAGCTCTGATGTCTAATCTGGCTATCTCTCTGAACTACTCTGTTACAAGTTACTCCTCAATGACTTCCTCACCAAGTATGGTACCTTTTAGATCCTCTTCCTGGTCAGACATGCTCTCTAATGCTATAAGGATTTCATGTTCTCCAAACCATCTTTTGTGGCAAACTTACTGTGTTTTAACTGATAAGAAGAACCAATATGTCAGAAAGTTTTGTCCTTTTACCTGGGCATGAAGGACTGTTTTCCTTGACTCCATACACTACTTGGAGAACTCATGTTGAAATTTTCTAAGTTTTTCTTAAGTGTGAGGAACTGGGTAGTGTCTTCTGGAGCATTACAACTGAGTTCTATTGCATGTTCCTCAGCCCATGACTTTTTCCTATTGAGTTTATCTCTTACCTCAGAGTCTACCTCTGGAGTCTACTGATTGCACCCAGTCTCTGGCTGCACCTATAGGAAGTTGTGTCAGTTCCTATAGTCAGGATCATATTTGAGGAGTTTAGTCTGGCATAATGGCTTCCATTTTGGTTATTTAATTAGATATTTTATAAAATTATACAAGAACAGTAATGACCATGGTATCAACATGGTGATTTTATGTGATAAAGAATATGTTTAAAGTTCTGGGAT